GAGTTAAAAGGGTCATGCAATAAAAAGTGAAAAAAAGAACATACTGTACCTTGAACTGGTAGATAGGTAGAATTCATGTTTAAAATGTTCATCAGAAAATAGGAATTCTGTCGCGGTTATTATGATAATAATCATAACGATATAAATAACATTAATCATTGATATCATTCAATATATGAAAACAGAAGTTAATTCCGTTAGATTGCATTGATAAAATTTGACTTTCAATGACATTCAAAGTAAATAAGATAGTTATGTATATTTCTTTTATATAATTAGGTTTGATTGCATTAAGAAGACGCTGATTGTTTCTGTTATACCAGGATGATGTAAAATTGCACCATTTTGCCAAACTACTAAGCACTTGATATGTAAATGAGAAATGGTCTTCAATATTACATTCATTGTCAATAACATACAGACCTTTAGATTTAGTGACTTTAACTTCACCAATTGTAAATTTTATCAGAATTTGTGCTTCGATTGACATAAATTTCACTGCTTCAAATGTATAAAAAAATTATGTATCCTAACTTTATAATGCAATCCAGTGTAATATGATACTGATGGGGAGCCTCATGTTAGGTTGAAGCGACCTCTCAATGTTTTTAGGTTTTCAATAGTTCTCTAACTAAAGTCAGATTTTTATTTATATACTATTAAAATAAGGAGGCATTGAAAAATATTTACTGACAATGTAAGCATGACATAAATGAAACGTGTAATTAATATAAATACATATGTTACGTGTGTGTGTGTGTAATACAAATAGCTTAATCACTATGATCTTTTGAACAATGTTTACTGATAGCTTTTTCTTTGAAATGGTCTTTTATCAGTAGCTTTATTAAAAGTATCGTTTGGTTAAATTATTTATACGATATTAAGTATAATTACATTTCTTTCACATTGTTTACTGTTATTTAGTGGTGGAAATGTTAAACAAATTAGGTAATTAAAAAAAAATCCCATATTGTAAATTGGGACAATATTGTTTTTAGTTAGGTAGTTTTTAGACTTTAATTATACAATAGTATTTATATGCATAGATAATATTATTCAATCAATCAAGGCGGTTTATGAGTCAGTGATAACAGTGGAAAGATTGTATAACGCTACTCATCGAAAAAATAGTAATTGTTTGACTTTTATTTTTTTTTAGCGACTTTCAAGGTTGAAAACTAGGCGAAAGTTATCTAAAATACTTCGATACAATTGTTTAAAGCTTGAAAATAGGCCAGGCATTAGATCACATTGATGCAATCGAAAGGTTTGTTATTGCATACACAGAGACTGCAATAATCAATGCTAACGTCAAACGAGTACCAGAAAAGTTTATAACTTCATATCAGTATTTTTCACTTTAAACCCTACAACACATGAATAACGTACGTTAGAGAAAACTGACTATTTTTCATATGATTCATTTGATTGTTACAGTTTTTCAAGTTGTTTTAAATCATTTGTGTTGGTCTGTCAAAGATCTTTGTTCGTTTCTCAGATTCTGTAATAACTAATGTATGTTTTCAAGTCGTTAGTTATTGATTTGGTATATTTGATATTAACTTGCATTATCTTGCCTTGATTTTTCAATTTTCCTATTTTCAACGAAAGTCAGTTTTAGTTTGTATGTATTTCATTTAAAAAAAAATTAATATTTTGCTCTCCACCTTTCTCTTTCTGATTATTTCTTAGTTATAAAAAAGTGTTTAGCCAATTTTTTGTTTGGATAATTTTAATTAGTATAAGAATGGGAATTGGTGAAGGCTGTAGTTACTCTAATGTTTGGATTCATGAGTCGATCTAAGCTAGACTAACATTGAAAACCTGGATGCACTGGACCGCTGTTTTGTCCTAGTATGGGAATCCTCAGCAATGCGCATCCACGATCCGGTACACAGTGCTCAAGCCCAGAATTTTCGGTCTCGCTCACGAACGCTTAACCTCTAGACTATTGAGCTGAGATCCAGCAATGTTAATGTCAAACTTCAATCGGAATCGTTGATGCACACTGCTTGATGGGTCTCATACTAGGACGAAACGGCCATTTAATTCTTCCAGGTTTTAAATGGTGGCCTTGCTTAAATCGACTCATCAATTCAACTATTAGAATTTTATCTAGATCAAGTATGCTTTGTTTAGTCCATAATTAGTAAGTAAAATTCTTGATACATTTTTACAATAATAGGTAAAATTTAGTTGCCAGATTTAATTATGTAAATATGATAAATATTTTTTATTTTAACATTTAAATATCACCTAGGAATTTTACTTTTACTATACATTAGTTTTTTCTCCAACTTATTCTTTATTCCATTTCACCAGTTCACTTCGTTGAATTAACTTTTCATTATTTTTTTATTGTAAATAAGATTCTTAAAAAATGTATATATATATATATATATATATATATATATCATGCAGCATATTCTTCTAGAATTATTAATTTGGAAGTATATAGCTTTCTGTGTACTTTTGTTTGGGTATGTATGTGCGAAGTAGATTATCATGCTGTTTTGTACTTATATATATATATATATATATATATATATATCGGAAATTAAAAATGGTGATGATGATAGGAACGGCAAGTGTTCTAGTTGTTATTTTTTATAATTGTTGCAATTTTGTCAATTTGTTGCTCAAAAAATATGTGCCGGATTAGTAGACACAAGGTTAAATAGGTAGTGTAAATTTATGAAACTTTTGCTTATTTTGTAGTTCATGAGGTTTAATTAATTTAAACACATAAATATTGGTACAAGGAAGCACCAGATACATATGCGCCGCACAAATTTCATTTGATTAGTGTGAGGACTGTGATACTGCCCAGGTGCCCAAACTGAAGCAGTTGGTTTTCTTAGGGGGCCACACCCGAAGCCTTTGACCTAAAGGTCTGATCCACAAGGCATTAGAGCATCGTGAGGAGATACAGTCTCATGGTGGCTGGTGACCAACGATTGACTCATATGCCGTTTGTTCCTTCAGGATACTGGAGCCCATGTGCACCATTTGTTTGGAATGAGAGTTTTCCAACTCCTCTAGGTGAACCTTCCGTGTCCACCAACCCGGTTAAAGAGCCGGACATTCGCTCTTCGTCATCTCAATTTCGTAAACAACAGTTGTGCCACGAGAAGGCAGTGAGTAGGACTTCCCTGTCAGAGGCTATATACGCGTGACCATGTGAGAGCATTTCGAGAGGGAGAGCGGACTCTCCCGACTTTTGGCCGTACCAGGGCATTTGGGGGGTCTCATGAGTGTTATTAGTAGTTTTTCTGAAAATAGTTTTGTTTTGTTATAATGTTGGTTTTTTAAAAGTTCCAGTTTAAATTTAAAATTAATCAGTTCTAATGAATATAATGTCTGATACACATATTAATTGCCCAAATTTACAATAACATCCTATTAATTTAAAGGATACGAAGAATAGTAAATAAATAAAAGTAATGTTTTGTAATTTATTATGATAAAAACTAAACATTGAGAATTTTTAGAAGGTATTTATTATTAGATGCTTTGATTCAAGATCTAAAGAAGAAATGAATAAACGGTAGTCGTATCACTTAAATCCACCAGTTAGTTGTTGGTCACAAGAACCGAGTCAACAACAACCAGATAGTCTTCATCTACCTGCGCAACTCAGTTCGACAGTCAATGACGTGATAAACTGTCGCTATTCAGGATTCCTTGCTTTCTTCGAACTTGCTCATAAATCAGCAAACATTACATGTCGAGGTAGGCTATGGTAGGAATATGTAACTATTGTACCAGCCACTTCAATTAGTTAGGCTTCAATTTCTTTTCAACTGATTTGCTATTTTTCGCTAGTACCCTTTGCGTAATCTGAACATTGCCTAATCAGTCATTCCACGACACCAGAACAATTCTCGAAAAATATTTATGAATAAAACTCTGTAGCCTAAACATTTTCTCTGTTTTCTTAGAATATGTGTCACAGTCGACGTAAAACAGAGTGAACTGCTGTGGAGTGTACTCGTCCTCTGAATTTCAGCTAAATATCTCACTTACACCACAAGTCACCCAGTTTGTCAAAAGACAAGCGAGATATTTTGAGTTGTGCTGAGATTTCGTCAGATATCAACCTGAGAATACTAATGAGACTCCCAAGAAAAATGAAACGACTGACTTTTAAGTGCTTTCTTATAGTTTATTCTAGGAATAAATCCATTCACTTGTGGTCGTTAGTATAATGTTTTAATTCAGCGACACCATATACACATATGTGTGTGTGAGATTTCTTGATTTTTTCCCCACATTTCTTTATTAACTGACCACACAAAACAGTGGTCTGTTACACCTTCATTGTATACTTTGTATTATTCAAGTTGCCGAGATAGTTGACATAGTTTTACCTCTATAACTACTCATTAGTGTTAATTGTGTTAAAGGCTAAAGACATTTTTCTATTTATGAGATAGCCGAGAAGAGTTACAGCTCAACTGAGTGATTTTTGTTAGTGTTATATTCTTTAAGTTGGATAATTAAATTTCAAAGCCTTTATTGTCGTTCTGAACTTCATCAGTTGATTACATTGTGTAAGCTTTTCACATTTAAAGAATTTATCTATGGGAATACAACACCAACAAATAAATCGATTGTAAATAATGAAAATGACCTGGTAAATTATACGTTTTAAATTCCCAAGTTGATGTCTTTTACGAAAACAAAATCGTCTGTATTGATAACATAAAATATTTGTAAATAATGTTCTGTTTGAGAACTGTTCATATCGCAAACTGACTTTAATTAGACATTCGTTAAAAACCACGAAATTTTGAAGATCCGTTTTATAGTAGTTACGCGAACTACCTTTGCTTGAAAAACCTCCTATCTTATTTCACATATATTTGATATTACAAGGTATTCTTCTCAAAGTAGGTATTTGTGTTTATATAGATATGCCAATGTTATAAATTTTCTCCTTGTCGTTCAAACTGCCTTTAATAATTTGTACACTGTTACTTTGTTTAAACATTCAGATTATTGATAAATCAAAACAAGATGCCCGTGAAGAAGTTGAAATATTGCTTAGACACCATAATCATCCAAATATTGTTTCCGTTCGAGATGTAAGTTCTTCATATTTATTCATCATTTTTCATGATACCATTTTGATTATCACTTAATCTAACCGTTAATTTAATATACGTTTATTCATTTTATAAATAGCTGTTTTCGCATCATTCGAGTTGTTTAAAATGTAAGCTATTCCAAATTACATCCCGTTTCATGTATACAGTAGTTAATGAATTTGACATGAAGCAAGAAACCTAAGTTTCATGTTTTTTGACGCTTGTCAGTATGGCATATCAGGATCTTTAAGGGTAATGATTTTCACTATTGTATTAGAAGTTGAGTCATCCAACATTACAACTTAAAGACGTGTTCACTTCAGTCTCAATAGCTTAATGTCAACGCCTCTGACAGTGACATTGGGTGACATAAACTATGATCTCATAGTAAATAACAATTCCCTCTTGAAGTCCGGATACCTTATGCTGATAAGTCTCAAGAGAAATGCGAGACCATAGTACAGTGCTTCATGTCAATTACCGCAAATCAACTTACATTAAATATAGTATTTTTAGTGTCAGCTGCTATGGATTACTAGCTACTTTGAGCCATGATCGATAACATAAGATGAAAACTTTGGATTATACAAACTTATGATTGATTACTTCTCAATGATCAGTAAGTGAACAAATACACAATCCTTATAGATTCTAGTTCCTTTTAATAACATGTTTTACTGTAATTTTTGGCGACCCATTTTCTCCACACTTGATAATTTATGCAGTTTTATTTCTAACTAAAGTAGAAAGTCCCATTACTGATGAGATCACATATTAAACAAATCTATTATTAATGTTTCTTTTTAAGAAATCTTCTGAATGAAAATTAAATATATTTCATTCCTAATTAGATCTAATCATCTCAACTAGGATTTAGTCTAATTCGTATCTTTGCTCACATGATTAGAAAAAGAGAAATAATTTCAATTGTTCCGCGTAAAAGTTGAAATTAGACAATAATATAAGGAATTCTACACGTGACATGTTGCATATTGTCTTACTAAAAGTTTAATTAAACATGTTATTATTAAACATTTGAACCATTGGATGGAGAACTAGTTATCTAAAAGCTAAGTACTCGATATTAAACTTGAGATGTCTAAATTCTTTTCCTATGCTGATCTCATCGTTAAGGAATTCCATACTTCGATGACGCAGATGTTCAGTGATCCTCGGTCTCTAATCATGTACAATTCAATATTAATCTCCGTAAAATTTACTTACAAAATTTGCTGATCTTCAAAAAGCCTTCAATTTAAAGTGTAATAATGCTACAAAACCAATGTATGACATAATGCAAGAAATTGAAAATACCTTTAATAATCTCCATATCCTTCTCATCATCTTTTAAACATTTTAATTTGATATAAAAACAAATACTTCTTCCCACTTAATTCCATAGGTTTTAAGTTAATAAAAGAATACTAGAATGATTCACCTTGTAAGCGTTTTCAACATTCTGCCAAACTAGCTGAAAAAAAAACAATGTTATTTCTCTCTCAGCTGATCCTTAAAAAATTTTTTTCGAATCTATTAATAAACACCTTATCAGTATGATTATAATATTAGTCCTTTTTTAACCATTATACAAGAAACATTAATTAAATTTCAATGTAAGAACACACTAAGCAAAAAAGGACAATATAATACATATTTCATTGTGTTTTCGTTCTATACTGACAGGTTGATTTATTTCTTTTCAAGATTTTATTTTACCAAAAAAACAATTAAAAATCTAATTGAAAATAGATTATACTTGCTTACATTCGATATTGTTTTTCTTCAATCACGTTTAGAAAGTCCAATGAAAATTGATATAAAGTTTTTTTTATTTTTAAATAATGGTTGGTTAATTGATTTTCACAACATAAATATCAACCAATAGGAATTTATTTGAACAAATAAAAAGTATTTCAGAAAATGTTAAACATAAATTAACTAATGTGTAAACATTTTTAACTGTATATTGTGTTTAATAGTTTATATCATAAATTAACCCCTTAGACAACCATTAGAAACCAGAAAACGTAAAACAGATTTTTCCTTCTAGTATGGGAATTTTCAGTCTTCGATATCCACGATTTAAGCAGAGACTAAACCCATGACTTTCAGATTTCGTAGAGAGCACATTATTTATTTATTTAAACACATAAATATCGGTACAAGGAATCACCAGATACATATGCGCCACACGAATCTCATTTGATTTGTGTGAGGGCTGTGATACTTCCCACGTATCCAGACTGAAGCAGGTGGTTTTCTTAGGGGATCACACCCCAAGCCTTTGACCTAAAGGTCTGATCCACAAGGCAGTGGAGCATCGTGAGCATGTGCAGTCCCATAGTAACTAGTGACCAACGGTTGATTCATATACCATTTGTTCCTTCAGGATACTGGAGCCCATGTGCACCATTGGTTTGAAGTGAGGTAAACTTTCCGTGTCTACCAACCCGATTAAAGCTCCGGACATTCGCTTTTTGTCCTTTCAATTTCGTAAACAACAGTAGTGCCACGAGAAGGTAGTGAGTAGGATTTCCCTGGCAGAGGCTTTATACGCGTGGTGATGTGAGAGCATTTGGAGAGGATGAGCGAACGCTCCCCACTCTCGGCCATACCAGAGCATTGGGAGGCCTAGCCAAGGCTTTCTTGTTTCCTATAGTTGTCTAAACGATTTCTACAACCTCCACTCCGTATGGCTGATACACTGCCTTTTTTTCAAAAATAATAATATAATAAGCGAATTAAATGATTGTTTACGTGAAACAGATCAAGGTTACCTTTCTATTGAGTATGAATGAGAAAATTTTCTCAGTAGTTTGATAAATATGATTCATAGGGACAATATATATTTTACGTTTTGAAATATCTTTTCTAAAACATCTTACTTGATAACGACAAAAAATCAATAATTGTGAAGTGGATGTTTTAAGAGATCTTTACTTCCGTACTCCTCTGCACACATTTAACAGTAAAAAATAATTTAAGAAATATTTGACTATAGACTACTCATCATGATTCTTTAATGTAAGGAATAAATGTTTAGTCTTTGAAATTGTTAATAGCGCTGAAGGCGGGTAACAAAATCTAAAGTAATCCGTTCAGTATGTGTAGTACTGTATGAACATTTTTCATTTTTACTTTAATGAGCTCATTAAACAGAAAGTTTCTTGATTTTAGTCTCTCAAATACCGACTGATGCATATTACAGAACATTTGATATCCTGTCTTAGTAGTAAAATATATAGAAGTCAATTTAGAAGTAAAGTTTGTATAGGACGCTTTATAATTGTTTAAATAAATTGTTTGTTCAGACAATTATAGTATTGTAGTGAACATAGAACTCAGAATGGGAAAACCAATTTATTGTTTAATGGAATTATTACACAATTGCTCAGTAAGATATGAAAATCATACATTAAACACATTATTTGTTTATCTAATTTACGTTGTCCTTTATCTCCGACATTATTCATTTAATTCTGTTGTTACGTCGATGGCTCTACGATTTCCTTTCTTTTCTCTTCATTTCAATCTTCTACTGTCAGGCATTCTACTTCCGGTCGTGACCGCATACTACTTATATCTATCAGCACAAGTAGCACATACCATAGTGTGAACAGTCATTTTTAATAATCATATATAAATTGAAATAAATTAATCTCGTATACTATCAACAAATTTACACGTTGAACTGCCTATCGATGATAGATTCACTAAGCCAAGTATAATTATTACAAATCAATGAGTCAATAATTTAGTCTTGAGTAGAAAAGAAGATTTTAACCTCTTAAGTGTCAATTAATATGAAGTGTTTTAATCATTTATGTATCTAAATGCTTTAAATCATACCTTGTGCTTACTATTAGTAGACGATAGCTAAGATTAATTGGGCAAATTTAAACAACCTTTTTCATCCTTTAATCTATTTAAACTATAAATTGTAAATAAATATTCAAATGATAATTTATTGATATGAACAGAAATAACTGGTGTATGCAAATGACCTTGATTTGTTTAAATCAACACCTTTACATTCTATTATAATATTAATTTGAAAATTATATTAACAGTATTATTGTCTACAAGAAATGTGGTAATAGATACTTATTATAACCTCATAATCAAATCAATAATAAATAATGGTTTGAAAAATAAATATTATGAAATCGTCTATTGAAGGATAACAGAAATAAAGATGAATAGCTATGAACTATATTTCATTTAAAATCTGTTTATGAAAGTGTTAGGGCGATCCTGAAAATTTCTCGCAATAGACATGACAAGCTCAGGAAACAGTAACAAGCATTTTATGCAATCAGCGTTTGATTAGAAGTTTTGCTAGAAATATCGCGAAAATGAAAAGTCACATGTAGAGTTTCTGATTGTCTGATTACTACACTGCTACTGTGTTTAGTAGTATTCTAGAATTTTCAGGAAAACCCAGGGACTTTTAAAATACTATAAAAACCCTATATTTTCTGTACATAAATGAACCTTTGGAGTAAGGTGCTTCTCGTATATTTTGCGCCTTTTCTCTCTTGTTCAAGGCGCTTTGTAGTTCTAGCTTGGGGGTTACGAGATTAGCTTAGGATTCAAATATAGCGTTCAGTCAGCAAGACTTATCAGAAATGATAAAAAAATTCAGAATAATTCTTTCGTTTCACAATCATGATTATACATTTTGTAGTTGACATTCTTTGTTATATACAAATTGATTTAAAGATGAATAAAAGTACCATTTTAAACATAAACAGTAATTTATTATTCCTAGGTGTTTATATTTGGTCATTAATAATATCTCGGACTGAACTTTTAAATTTGTTGATGTATGTACACTTTGGACAAAATCCTTTATGTTTTATTTACTAGGAAGTATTTTTGATTGACATTTTGATATCATGGCTAGGAATGATATTCTAGATCAATTTTTCACTTTATTTAAAACTCGTCAGCCGCATAAGTCAGATTTCTAACGTTAGTATACTTACTGAGACTAGAACCCGATAACTAACGTTTTAAACTTCATCTTTGGATATCAACAATAAAACACATAAACCTTTAGGAATGATATATGTTATACTTGTTTAGCGTGCTAGTATCTATCCAGAGTTGACAGCTTCAGGCCAACTTGTTTATTTCCAAAGCTCTTTCTCGTGAGGAAAAAATCATTCTCATCATCTCACTCTTATCATTTCATTGTCTTTAGAATTCATGTTTATTAAAGTTTTTTCTAAAGGATATTAAGCTTCATTTGTTTACACAAAAGCAATTTGTTTGCAGTCTAAACCCAACCAAGTAATTCTTAACGTAATTTTTGCTTAATACCATTACTGCCTACCTTTCATTCTTAACTTTTGGTTTTCTACTTATTCAAATCAACCATGTTTACCGCGTTTAAACTTCCTAAATTTATATAAACTGTACAAACTTATAGATCACGTTTTTGTAAGTTGTTTTCTCTTTTCCTAGTACAACAAAACTGATATAATGGCAGAATAAAAACTTGTTTTCTGTTTCTTCTCGCAATCCTTCTATAATACTACAATGCAACGGGCAATCGAGGTGATACTACCATCAAATTGGATACTAGGTTGGATAGATTGGTACTTTGTCCACAGAGTTCACGATAGGCCAGATAGATTTATTATTGTCAACCAAGTACAGAAATCTAGGATGTAGACCAGACAATACCATAAATAATAACAACTATAACAGTCAATATTCAGTGAGTTCAGAGTAGAAATCAATATATAAGAAAAAAAATCATGGAAAATAAATGATCAGTAATTTGTATTTGTTATTTCATACTGAATGGTCAATCACGTTTATTTTTACTAACCACACACCAAGTAATTAGAAAGTAAATATGATATACATTTATAATAAAGGGTCGTTAGAAGTTCTGGTTTAGCAGACAAAAAGTTTAACTTTCGACAACTAAATCACACGTTCTCGTCCCGCTCCCTTTCCTTAACTTTGGACAAATTGATTATATCACTAGCTCTTACACTTAAATTGTAGCTCAAAGCTGAATTAATTCTTGGTAAATGAGTATCGTTGGCATCAAAAAGGAATAAGAATGATTTATATCTGCTTAGAAAATTCCGCTAGTTGAAATATCCTCTTTTATCAATATTTTCAAATTTTATCTACGGTAAAGCGTTGTTATATTGATTAGGCAGTATTATTTGAAATCACTTGTGTTCATACTCTATTTCGTTTCCTGTATTGTTCGTTTCATGAGCTTAATTGTATGACTAGCCTTCAAAAGTTTTAAAGCAATCTATTTTTTGTTTTTTTTGTATTTTTTTCCGATTAGGTTTATGAAAATGAGAATTTAGTTTATCTTGTTATGGAATATTTAAAAGGTGGTGAGTTATTGGATAAAATATTCCGAGAAAAATTTCTTTCTGAACGGGAAGCCAGTAATATCACTTATGTGATTGCAAATACATTAAGTTATTTACACAGCAATATGGTAAGTTGGCGTACATTTCTTTTAAAAATATTTAACTTTCAAATAATATTAATCTTTGATATGTTTATTGACTTACGGTATCCTGTGTAATTTTTTCAGCAGCTCAGTATTTCTATGTGTGTACATATACTGTGCTTGTCGATGCTATACAACTTCTCAGATAAAGTAGAAAAACGCTCAGCTTATGCATGTTACTTGAATGAGGTTTATGCGAATTTATCATAACTTCATTTCAAATTCATTGGTTAGTGTATAGTACAATTACGAATTTTTATAATATTCATTTCATGAATTTCATTAAACGAATTCATGACATTTTCTGAACAAACGATTTTTCTTTATTTTCGATTGTTATCTTTCAAGAAATGTTATTTAAATAACATTGTAAGTAGGTTAGATGTTCATTTGCCAACCAGTTCGTACCATTTTGTTTTACGGCTGTATAATGTGGTCCTTATAAATTCTTATGTTACAACTATTTGATGATAGATGCTTTTGAAGCCTTTTCTGAGATATAGTGAGATCTTAAATTGAGTTATGGTAGAGTGAAAACAAAGGACTGAATAAATATAACAAATTAAGTGATGAGATTGTGAATGTTCATCGACTGTGGTCCTTGGGACATCTTTTGCGTATGCTCAACCGTAGGACATCTCGGGCGCTATGAGAGCTGAGGTAAGAGTAGGAAGCACGTAAGTTCTGAGTGACCGAATGAGCTTGTAGTACCAGTCTATAAAGTCAATAATTGCTAAATAGAGCAGCGTGAGTAACTATAAACTATCTGGTTAAGGCTTTCCGGATTTTTGTAACTAACGATTAGTGAAATAGGGTGGTTTTTTCCTCAAGAACACATTTTCTCCTAGGATCTTATTTCTTATACTTGATATTTCCCCAGACCTCCTATACTGTTAGTGCTGATATTGCCGTAGAATCTCTCTCCTCTAACATGGTGTGGTATTGCAGCATGAACCGATTAAAATATTTTCAAAGTTCTGCTTTACATATAACTGACTAGGAATAGTGGTCTGAATTCGTAAATTTTGTTTTCATCATAAATAATTTTATTTTTGTAACGACTAAGTCCGAGTTGTTGATTTCTTTTTTCCCCGGATCAATGGTTCTAATAAGAAAAACAACTGCCAATTGTTGGTTAATTTTTTTTCTATTCAAGTAAATAAATTAAAAAGAAATGCAACAATCATATATTTTATTGTCTCAAGTAAACAACATGAATAACGTTAACTTTATATAGTTATCAATACATTGAGTTCATTAAATTGTTTACATTTGTAAACTTGTAATAAGTTCACACAGACATAAAATAAAGAAATATTGATTTATCCAATGAGTTAAATAATTCTGAACAAGTTTTTGTAAAACATTCATGTAAACAATTTAAACTGAATACTTTAATGCTGATGGGTCAATAACATCAGTCATGGAAACAAATAAATGACATGTTGGGCAGATAAATTCATTTTTCAAAATTCTACTCAAAAAAGAATTCAGTTATATTGACTAAGTATTTCTAAACGACGATGTACTCTTGTAATGAACACACACTTGGGTAGGGTTAGGCTTAAAATAAGTTTTTTTATTATGAAAAAACAACATTTTACATACCTCAAAGATGTAGGAAAATAATATTCATTATTGAGGCATATCCTAAGTTTGTTTTAGGATTCTATATAGCTTTTGACGATAGTTTCAGATGTTCTAATTTGTTCTGTAATTTTCAATATTTAATAATATATTTGTTTTTTGTTATATCCCGATGAGTAGAATGTTTTAGTTCTGGTGTTTCGTGACTAAATGTAAGCCACTTCTTCAGAATGAATGACTGAATTAAATTAGCATAAGTTTGAATAGTACAAAGAAAACAAAAACAGAATATTTTTAGTACAATCAAAATCATAATAGATTTGAATATGTCATTATGAAGTAATTCTTGGTCAAGGTGAATTTGTATGACCTGTCACGGCATTAATTTGTGCTTCAGAATGTGGGAATGGAAAATGTGTGTCTGTAGATTAGGTTGTGTCGCTTGGAGAGTCTTCTTGTGAGATCTCATCCCATGCCAAGGAACACTTAAGTTGCACAAAAAGACCTAATAATCCTGTAGAATTGGAGAATCTACAAGTTAAATTAGCAATGGAAGTACATGCTATATATTAACAAAATGAAAATAATTAAGAAACGTTTTTGCAACTATAAAGAGAGGTGAGGAGCCGAAGAGTTTCACATAATGCTAAATGCCTCTGCTATTAACAGGAAAGAAGTTCTAAATATCCATCCAATGTGGTCTTTTTATCCAAACGAGCACACTTGATAATTAAAATAACCCACTCCGTCAATAAATAGAAATAAAGTTCAGCGAAGAAAATTTTCTTTTCGATGAAGTCATTTATTTAAACTGTACATTCGTATTTATAATTTTATGGTCGAATCAAAAACTTATACATTGTTGAGGCGTTGGCGGTCCACCGATTGAAGCTTGAGATTTGAGTGCAAAAACGACACGTTCAACTTTTCACCTTTCCTTGGCCATAATTCCCTCCCGCAACGTATATTTACCATACAGTTTTAAATACAAAACCACATCTGACCTTATTTATTTTCCACGCAATCTGCACACACACTCAATCTCAACACCTTTATTTCATATTGCAAACGTATACATTTTCCATCCCCACATTCTGAAGCACAAATTAATGCCGTGACAGGTCATACAAATTCACCTTGACCAAGAATTACTTCATAATGACATATTCAAATCTATTATGATTTTGATTGTACTAAAAATATTCTGTTTTTGTTTTCTTTGTACTATTCAAACTTATGCTAATTTAATTCAGTCATTCATTCTGAAGAATTGGCTTACATTTAGTCACGAAACACCAAAACTAAAACTTTCTACCCAATGTGCAATTTATTTGAAATTATCAAGTTAAACCTTTGCATTGATACCTGTTAATGTTCAAGTTCTCATACAAAAATTATATTGTGTATATACTTTATTCCCAAAACACATTCTGAATTCTTCAAAGCAATTTTTTCAGTTACTTTGATGTTTTGATTACTCAGTTTATTTTAACTTTCATGTGTTCATAATAATAAATTGCCTTGTGAGTATAACGTTTAGCCTGTCGTAACCTAAAATGCTGGGACCCTTTTTAGATTTACTATTATACATATATTCTTAGTGCATAATTATTAAGTAACTGGGCTCCTGTCTATATAAACCATTGTTCAGAATCTTTCGTTTAACGGATTAAATATTGTTATACGACTTATTATTCTCAATGTATTGCCAAGATATTACTCACACATTACCTTTTTTTACAGCCACCTTTGGCTTGTTTATTTATAATGATGGTACTTTTTTTACCATGCTATTTAGTCCAGTATGTTTGTATATAAAGCTTCATTTGCTTTAAATATAAGAACATAGACTGGCTGCTGACTTCTCTGACTCTCTCTAAGCAGGATGTGGGCTTAAGAACTATAAGGCAATAGGGACTCAGCTTGCATCAGCTCATGGTTAATTGTCAGGATCAGAAGGATAATTGGCCAAGTTTAGGAAGGGAGGTTTTAAACAGAATGGCACACTCTGGAAAGAGAAAGTCATATTTGAAATTTCGATCGGTTAACTTAACATATAATCTCCATTATTTTCTCAAGACACAACATGACTTCATTCCTTTCACACTTTTCTTCAGAGTTTACATATGTCTTTCAAAGTAATATTTGCGATTTATTTCGCTATATGTATGTGGTTTTTCATAATTATTATCAACATTACATGCTCTATCTTATTGACTTAAGCTTACGCAAATATTACTTATTTCATAAATCTTCTTTCCAAACATATAATAATATAATTATATAATTATATATGATTTCAACTATGAAAATACTGAAATCTCTACAAAACCCCTTCTGAATTATATAAACGTTTTAATAATTATATTAGTGAAATAAATTTGTTTTTTTCTGTATAACCTACATTTAGAACATACAGAACGAAATGAATTAACTTTAACCCACATAAGTTATTATATTTAATAAAATAAACCCTATTATAGTATTAAACATTATATATATATATATATTTTGCAAAATATCAATAATTTTAATCTGAAATAATTATCCCATAGGAAAACAATATCACACTATATTTGCATGGGTTTAAAAATGTTTTTTTTCAATAGTTATTTATACCTAGAATGTAGCTTTCTTATCTAATTAGTAGGAAAGTATGTTTATCTTTGATCATAAATATTACTATATACAGTAAATTTAAATTATTCAAAGAGTTGAACTATATTTTTCATTGTAGATTATTCCTGTCTTTTTTTTTGTTTGATCTTGATTTCATTCTGTTTTCTTTCTCTTTATCATGTCACAATGGTATCCTTCTTTCTAGGTAATGAATACTAATGTTTGACTCGATAGTTTCAAATAAATTGAATATTAGGTAGGAAGTTAATAATATATATATATATTTTTATACCCCAATGAGTAGAAAGTTTTAGTTATGATGTTTCGTCACTAAATGTAATCCACTATTTCAGAATGAATAAATGACTGGAATAAATTAACATAAGCTTAAATAGTACAATGTAAAATGCATACTATTTTTAGGTGTCTTATTCTACCGGAATTTTATGTGAATTGAATGAATTACTATTTGGAAAGATTAGCAAAAAAACAATGGATTCAGTCAGTTAATCATAGCGTTTGAAATTAATCTTTTGAAGGAATGATTAATTAGCTTATACATAAAATGGCCTTTAGTGAGTAATATATTATTATTCGTTGTTCACTGCCTATTATTGTAATAAACATCAACGACAAAATACAATAAGAAAGTAGTTTTGGATGATGGTTATCTTTTACTCAATGATTGAAAATGTGTTTCTTATTTTCTAATTGATTGTTTCAGTGTAAGAAGTAATTTTTCAAATTATTTTTTTCCGTTTAAAGTCAAAATATATTAGGCTCAATGCTTAATAAAAAAAACAGTTGTGGTGAAAGTTCTGATTCAAAGGCTTAGCACAAAGATGAACAAAGTGGGGAAATATTTTATTTGAATTGATTTTTCATCATAGATCTACATCAATACACATACACATGATTGTGACAGTGGAGTTGCATCATTTTGAGTATGAGATAGTTATCTTCCAGAAACAATGGTAGTGCGGTATGATGAATTGACTAAGTTTCTGTTTGCATGCCATTCGATGCCGGCTGAGTGGTCTCTTAAAATCAAGCGATTGCTCGCAAAACCCATGGTTTTAGGTTCGACCCCGGAAGGGGTATGTATGCTCACTGTTGAGGACTGGCGATCTAAATAAAGTCATTTCGTAGTTTAATGACTATTAAAACAAAGTAATATCGAGTGATTAGTAGTGCTGGGGTTTTCAAATGATTATAAAAATAAAATAGAACAGTTAGCTTAGTGATTAAAAGAAAGATAACATAGTTATTTTACTGACAAAAGTAGTTATTTGTTAAAACCGGAAACATAATTAAATTGTCCCCAAATTACTTAATATTTAATAAGAGAGTAGATGAAATATTTTGATGGAAAATCAATTTTAAAATATTCATGTGAATATCAAGAGATAAATATGAAAATTATGCAGTAACCTGAAATGTGAAAAAACCGTCGAGCATTTCAATGAAGGAATTATAACCGATTAGTAATATTTTATTATTGTAAATCGTATATATATATATATATATATATATATATATATATATATATATATATATGAGCAGGGTTGGATGATAGCTAGCAGTGAAATCTAGGACGCACGTCTCGTCGTATTCGGGAATCGTCACTTGAACGTACTTGGACTTCACTGCTAGTTGTTTGTTATCTTATAGCATTATCGAGACATTCCTCACAGTATGCATATATCCCAGGTAAGGCTAATTAATCATGGTCCTAAACATCACTGGGAAGATTCAAACAACCAATACACAAGATATATATATATATATATTTCAGTCTGGAGCTATGAAGAAAAAGTAATTAACAATAATACCTCTTTGTTACATCGGTCTGTATATTTAAAAAAAACAGTCGTTTAGTCAACATAGTCATAAATTACAGAACAAAAGTGTTTATCTATTTTAATGAGCAAAACCAACGAATATTTATTACAGAAAAATTTATTAACAATAAATAGAATACATTAATTCATAGACCCTATTAAGGAAATATCGTTTTATTGTTGAATTTATCTTCATCATTTATACATAATATATATGATTCAACATATTGTGTTCACAAATATATCGTATATGATCTTTATTCTAGTTATCATATTATTAAATAAATATGTAGTAATAGTCGTGTGGTGTGGGTTACTGATATCCACATAAGTAGTATATGGTGATGGTCGGGTATTGAATGTATTTCAATAGAGGATCGATAAGGAGAGAAGGGGAACGGCACGCAATTGGTACGAAAGTGCATGAACAGTTATAATCGGAGACTATGGACGGATATTTGCAGAAGGAATAGTCAAATTGAGACAATTGATTGTGATTTTGCAAACTAACTGTTCACTTTATCGTTCTCATATTTTAATAAGATATTCTGTAATATTGTGCTGAAATACATTCGATTGTCCCCACCTGTGTTCATGTTCATTACAGTAGTAGTAATTTTTCGTTTTCTATAATTGTTTGCCATGGATTGCATGTAAACTTAGTAGTTAGCTTTTTTATTATGCTGTACGTTTACAAAATTATTTATTGTTATAATGATTATAAAGATTAAACTGTAATACATTATTTTAAAGTTAGAGTACATATTATAGATTTCTAATGATTTATCGTTGTGGTAGTATTCTAGTGAACAAAACACGGGTGGGGACAATCGAATGTATTTAAGCACAAATTACAGACTGTCTCACTAAATTCTTATAACCATACAATGAACAATTAATTTGCAAAATAACAAACAATTGTCTCAATCTTAAATGTTCCTTCTGCAAATGTCAGTCCGTCTTATCTGATTTCATTGTTCATACATTATAGTACCATTTGTGCTTTATTTCTGTTCATTCCTTATCGGTCTTCTGCCAAAATACATTCTATGTCTAACCATCACTATATACTACTTATGTGGATATAAGTAGACCACACCAGAGTATAATGTATTTATTTAAAAAACTGTCTTTACAAAAATTAATGAATAAATCTAAACGATTTTATTTAATTTTTACTTTCGTGATCCAGATGGAATAAAGTGGATGAAATAATAATATGAGTAACTATATTCAGACATGATTCTAACAATTTTTCCTTTAATACTCTGATTCGAATCCCTTAGCATTCATCAGGTCTCTCAATATTTAGGTATACTCTGTTGACAAGTGTCAACTAAAAAACCGTGGCCCAGGGTGTCTTGTTCACCACTTTCAACCACATAACAACCCGTCATAGTGTACACAAAGTTAATTCACCTAGATTAGTGATATCACAATTTATGTAACGTATATAAGAAATATGTCATCGGTTACTGCCTATCGGTCAATCTATTGTTTGTTTTTTATGTATTTTTTGATATATCACTCTGTCTTATCTTAGCAGGTATAACCACAGATTACTTTTTAAACAAATGAAATTATACCATGTGAAAATGATCAATATTGTATTCTAAAGGGTTTTTTTCTCTCTAAGATAAATATTTTAATCGTGAATCTCCCATCATCTTTCTAAACAACGTCATCAGTACATAGTTTGAAATAAAGTGTGTGATTAGAATTTCTCCACAATTAAATAACAGCGCGTTCTGTTGACATGGATTTTGATTGCTTACTGTTGTTCACATAATTATGTTGAATGTCTTCTCTGGCCTAATCTCTGACCATCCAGCTCGTTAAATAAAACATCTAAAAGTGCGTTTCCCTGAATTTTTGATTTCTATCCTCTCAAAGCTTACATTTGACTATCAAAACTAATCTCTCAAACCAAAAATAAAAACAGCGAATCTCTTTGCTTGATAGACATAGTGCGTTTATTTTTGGTCTTGTGAACATGATACCATACATATTTTAGTCTTGTAACAATAACTCAGATAATATTGCATCAATTTGTAATCAAGCCATATATCTCTGAAGGTCAATGTGAATGTCTATGTAATTATTATACCCTGTAAACATCGTAGTATATACTTAATAGTTGTAGCCATTAAAATGAAAATAAGTTCTTAATCGGAATTTAATCGTTTTGAAAATGAGTTGACCTATTCAACTAGACACTTTGTTGTACAACACGAAGTTGTTTCCTTTTAAATAGAATTATGTACACACCCTGTGTATTTTGTGTGTATGTGCTGTATAATCTTATCTAATAAATACATGCATAATATATACACAATGCAAGTATTTGTAACAAATAATAGGTTACCATCCTCTCTTGAACGAAATTAAATCATTCATATAGACTGTTACTAATATTTTCATTATGTTAATCATGATCACACATTTGAATTTATAAACGCAATGCACTAAGAATATTTCTTGAAAAGAGATTGTTTAAGTATTATCAACAAAATGGATGATTAACTTCACACTTTCAATTTATGTATAATTATTTAGGTACATCTATGTTTTGAAAAGCGTGTTTCATATGCTGTAGGTCCCTAAATATCCCAAAAATTTAAGTTCTCTCTGCAAATCCTGAATTTCGTTCCCGCAGGAGTCATAAATACTAACTGATGAGGATTAGTTCTTACGGGGATGAAACATACATTCAATGCTTATTGGTTTTCAATGGATAACTTACTTAGGTCGGTCCGTGATCTCAAAAAGTGTAAACAATTATGTTTTATTTAATCAATAGACAACCAAAGTATAAATTACGATAAAGAAATTTGTTGATTCGAAATTATTTGTTTTTTGCTTTCTGAATACATTTTATTCCTTTTTTGAAAATAGATTTCATTGATATAACTTCAGGTCGTATGTATGGCTTTAAATCAATAGGATAAATGAATTTACTATACAACAGTCAAAGTACTTTTCTGAATAGGATTGTTGCATCGTGGTTATATCTATACAATATTTGAAAAATTGTGTCTTATGTTGATGTCTGTTTAATTATTATTCAAAAACCTATTATTATTCCATGTGTATACATATATTCCCTACTGCGCCAGGTTGTGCATCGTGATCTTAAACCATCCAATGTATTATATGCAGACGATTCTGGTGGTATATCTTCCCTGAGAATATGTGATTTTGGTTTTGCAAAACAATTGAGAGCTGAAAACGGTCTTTTAATGACACCGTGTTATACCGCAAATTTTGTTGCACCAGAAGTAAATTGCTTGACAGTTTTCTTTAATTATCGTAATTGCGTTTAATTTGCTATGATATGGGACCCTCCGTAAGAAAAAGTGAAGCTTTATAATATACTGTTTATTTGTTCAGTTATTTATTTACCGTAAGATACCAACCCGGTGCTCCTGATGTTCATGTTCACAGTGATATCTGCAGATCCTGGAATCGATTTCTTGTGGGGTCTAGGGTACATGCTTCTAAGATGTCCTCTATTGAGGCGAATCAGCTGTTTAATGCTCTCTGGTTTTCGTTTGCACACACACTGGGATCAATCCGTGACAAATACAAACTAAAAATGTATTCAAAAGTACTTGGTAGTTTTATAGAAGAATGGGCATTGCTTGACTGACATATTTCGACCAAGGATAACTAATAAGTTGTCCACCAGTCTTAAAAAATTGAGAAAATAACTAACACTAATCAGTTTGTAGGACAAATCGGAGTATTGCTAAAATAACAATCGAAATTAGTTGATTGTTATGGGTTAATGTTATATCCCGAATAGAATTATGAATGGTAACTTTTGAGAACGATATATATATATATATATATATATATATATATATATATATATATATATATATATATATATATATATATATGAACACATAAACATTAATACAAGGAAGCACCAAATAGATATGCACCACATAAATCATTCGATTTGTGTGAGGGCTGGGATACTGCCTGGGTACCCTAACTGAAGCAGATGGTTTTCTTAACGGGGCCACTCCCCGAGCCTTTAATCCAAAGGTTTAAATCACGAAGCCGTGAAGCAACTTTAGGAGATGCAGTCCCATAGTAGCTGGTAACCAACAATATGTTCATATGTCATTTCTTTCCTTACGATTCTGGAGTCCATATGCACCATTGTTTTGGAATGAGAGTTTTTCAACTCTCCTAGGTGGGTCCTCCATGTCCATCAACCCAGTTAAAGCATCGGACGTTCGCTTTTCGTCCTCTCAATTTCGTAAACAACACCGGTGCCGCGAGAAGGCAATGAGTAGGACTTTCTTGGCAGTGATTGTGTGCACGTGACCATTTGAGAGTAAATCAAGAGGGAGAGCTGACTCTCCCCACTCTTGGCCGTACCAGGGCATTCGGGGGCCAATAACTTTCTACAAATACATGAATCTCTCATGCATGTGTGCATCTCTATTTATTATTACTGTTATTATTATGTTTTGTACTAATTTTCACTTGTGTATGTATCACTTTACATTCATTTGTATTTGTTTATTCTTTTTATTTTTCTTATGTTGTTATTTTTATGCATCATCATCAATGCATATAATAATATAGGTGTTAAAAATGCAAGGTTATCATGCTGCATGTGATGTATGGAGTTTAGGTGTAATAATGTATACAATGTTATTTGGACAAACACCATTTGCAATTAAACCAAATGAATCATCTGAAGTAGTTTTATCACGTATAGAATCTGGTCGATTAGATTTAATCAATAAGAATTGGAACAAAATATCTGATTCAGCAAAAGTATGTATTATAAATTATATATCTATATATACTTGTAAATAATTTATTCTAGTAAATGACATAACATAAACTTTTATTGTTTATCTTAATTATTCTTGTTTCTTTCACATTAACTCATTGAGGTTTAGAAAAAAAAATGTCAAAGTGATACTTTACTCAAGCTTTATTGCACTAGTGAACATCAATAAACAATCTCTATGATATTTTCTGAAGGAAAAAGAAAACACCAAAAAAATGATAATAATAGAAATTATGCCATATATCTATAATTTGGCAACAAAAAAAATCACATCAAAATGCATGACCTGATTATATCAAACTAAACACATGATTTAATATCCTTGTTTGTTTGTTTTCACCTGTAAATCAATATAATTTGTATTGTTTATTATTTGTTGAAGTCGAAATGAAATGTTTTCTAAACCATATCATTAAAAACATTCAGTTAAAGTTTAATCATTTATACAGCAAAGACATTTTGAATCAATCAATTATTTCTTAGTTTTATCTAATTCAATTTGAAATAGTTTCGGTTATCAGTCAGTCAGTAAGTCAGTTACAACGTAGGACCAGGCATATATATGCATCGGTTTGAATTATGCTGTTGTTTATATTATTTCTTTACTGAAATTTAATCAGTCTTTTTTCAGCATATATGCATGCTGTATAGATTGCTTCCATATAGCCATTATGACACAAGATAATGTAGAATAAATAGAATCTGACTGGTAGTGGTATCCAGGACTCTCGTTTCGTCTCATCAGGAATCCGTTGTACAAGCGTAGTGATTATCCGGACTAAAAAGCTAAGGGAATAATCTTCGGTGAATGGTACTGGATTTATGTTTTAGAGTGGAAACTAGCCTTGAGCTACAGGCGAATTCAGCTGAAAAGTCATTGGTCGATCAAAATACTTGTCCTAGATTCCACTGCTAGCCACAATTCATGCATTCCATAGTCTCATCTGTTCTTATTTATTTTAAAAGGATAAAAATAAATTCATTCTTATATTGTTTCATCTGAATATTTATCATATTTAAATGCATAGTTTCATGATATGTTTTAAAATCTTGATATTATGTAGAAAATTATGGAATTTACACTTGGTAGAATCGTACACTTAAACGCTAGATAATGCCAATAGACCTGACAATAGATAATAGGTTTAACCTACGAAGAACTAGACTAGACACTAAAATATGTGATATGCACAATACAATTATCTCATTAATAATCAAGAACAAGATATGACAAAGAACAATAGTTTATTGACACAAGTACAAAATAGTCAACTGTTGGTGAAATCCCAGTAGAATCTGCAATGGAATGAACATACAATATTATATAGTCTCATATTTTTATGTATTCACCTTCGCTCATTGGTCGATCACGTCTCACTTTTACCGACATATGAAAAGTGACAATGTAATATATATATATATATATATATATATATATATATATATATATATGCTGGAAAAAATCGTTTCAGTTAAATCAATTTTCATTATGCCGTACAATACCAGTCAACTGACTACCAATAACATATGAAATTATTGAATGCCTTCTATGGAAATTTCAACTGGTTTATACATTGTTACATAGGAAACAGAAAATTTACAACTAATATTAGTAATACCAGTAGATTAGACCAAAAAGACAATTGTTATTCACATTTGTAGTAAAAATAAAGTCTAGTTTTTCCGAAATTTTCACGTAGATATCTCAGTATCTGATATTTAACATTATATTAGTTGAAAGTTACCGATTTATGTTTATAGTACAGTATTGGTGTTTTGGTGGGTTGATTGTTCACCCATCATAGATATGGAGGTGCGTCTTTTCCAATACTAATGAGAAATCCTATTCATACTGTTAATGCAACTAAATTATAGGTATTTATTCAAAATTATCCCTCTTTATGTGTCTATAAAATTAATTCACGGCGAACAAAATAACTCAACTGCCAATAAGTTATTGTTTAACGAGTATGTGTAACTCCTTAAAAGTTCAAATTCCACGACTCCCTATAGGGGAGTATCATATCTAGGAAATTTCGGTTTCTTAATGTGTACTTAACCTTTAGACCACTGAGTCAACATTTAATGGTTTCCTTGTGTAACTTAAAACAATGCTTCTTTGGCTTTCAGTGATAGTAAACCATATAATCCACAAACCCACTATAGTTATTTTTTGTACTAACTGCCATTTGTACTCAATATTTATAAGTTTTCTTTCTATAACTTTTGATCACATTTATGTCTTTCATATTTTTTGTTTAGGATTTATTAACAAAAATGTTAAATCCTGAACCGTCTAAACGTTGTACAGCTAGTGCGATCTTATCACATCCATGGATTAAAAATCGTGATCAACTGTCACCAGAATTATTGACGGACGTTTTGTTAAATGATGTCAGTCAAACAAAAGTAAGTGTTTGTAACGTAATTATTTGGTGTTCGTTTTTAAGTTTTCCATTTTCTTGGAGCTTGAAACTAATAGTAACCAATAAGATACTTACTTACTACTCATATTGTCGGCTGTGGTTTTCTTTAGATTATTGTATACCTAATACTAAACATCAGTATTTGCTAAAATCGGTATTTTTTGGTTTTTAAGTTTTATTTAACTTAAACTAATTTTCTTGCTAAATATGCCAAAGGAATCTAATAATGTATATTGTTTAATTTTCCTCTAAACTTTATTTCATAGTACATATGAATTTCGAACAAATTGTAATTATTAATGAATTAAATTATTTGAAAACCCTTGAACTATTCAAATCTTATAAGAGAAAATTCACTTATCCATGTTTAATAAATGTTATTTTTTGTTACTAGTTCAGTGACTTTTAAAATCAGGATATTTATAATAGACAGTAAAAACAAAGTATGTGTATATAGACTATTTATTTATGTGCCCGCAAATGCCCTGGTATGGCCGAGAGTGGGGAGAGTCCGCTCTCCCTCTCGAAATACTCTCACATGGCCATGCGTAATATAGCCTCTGCCAGGGAAGTCCTACTCACTGCCTTCTCGTGGCGGGGGTGTTGTTTACAAAATTGAGAGCTAATATCCGGCGCTTTAACCGGCTTGGTGAACACGGCGAGTCCACCTAGAAGAGTTTGAAAACCCTGATTCCAAACTAATGGTGCACATGGGCTCCAGTATCCTGAAGGAATGAATGGCGTATGCACCAATTGTTGGTCACCGGCTACCATGGGAATGCATGTTTTTACTATACTTCACTGTCTTTTGGATCAGACCTTTAGTTCGAAGGCTCGGGGTGTGGCCTCCTAAGAAAACCACCTGCTTCAGTTTAGGCACCTCAGCAATATCACAGCCCTCACACAAATCTCATTTGATTTGTGCGGCGCATATATATCTGGTGCTTCCTTGTTCCAATATTTATGTGTATAAATAAAAAAATTTACTTATGTACTTATGTCTGAGGGTTACATGGTTACTGTGAGACTTAAGTATATTGGGGCACCATATTCCCACACAAAAACATACACAAAGCCACTTGGATTTCACCGGATCACACTACACAGAATCAAATCGACCATGTCTGCATCAACAAAAAGTTCAGGAGGACGATGGAGGATGTGAGAACCAGGAGAGGAGCTGATATAGCATCCGATCACCATTTGCTGGTCGCCAAGATGAAACTAAAACTCAAGAAGCACTGGACAATGGCGCGGACAACATCACAAAAGTTTAACACGGCCTTTCTTCGAGATGCTGACAAACTCAACGAATTTAACATAGCCCTCAGCAACAGGTTCCAGGCCTTTCATAACCTACTCAATGAAGAGGGAACCACCATAGAGAGCAGCTGGAAAGGTATCAAGGAGGCAATCGTTTCAACATGTCAGGAGGTTCTGGGCCAAAAGAAGCACCATCACAAGGAATGGATCACTGTTGGTACACTGGATAAAATTGAAGCAAGGAGGAACAAGAAGGTAGCAATCAATATCAGCCGAACAAGAGCAGAAAAAGCCAAGGCACAAGCCGAATACACAGAGGCAAACAAGCAAGTGAAGAGGAGCATCAGGACCGACCGACGTAAATATGTGGAAGATTTAGCGATGACAGCGGAAAAGGCTGCAAGAGAGGGAAACATGAGACAACTGTATGATACAACAAAGAAACTTGCTGGAAATTACCGTCAACCAGAAAGACCAGTGAAAAGCAAGGAAGGCAAAGTAATCAACGATATTGAAGAACAACGAAACAGGTGGGTAGAACACTTCAAAGAACTCTTGAATCGACCAGCTCCACTGAACCCACCCAACATCGAAGCAGCACCCACAGACCTCCCAATCGATATTGGCCCACCAACAATTGAAGAGATCAGCATGGCCATTAGACAAATCAAGAGTGGCAAAGCAGCGGGACCAGACAACATCCCGGCAGAGGCACTGAAAGCAAATGTAACAGCAACTGCCAAGATACTCCACATCCTCTTCGGTAAGATTTGGGACGAAGAACATGTACCAACAGACTGGAAAGAAGGACTTCTCATCAAGATACCAAAGAAAGGCGATCTGAGCAAGTGCGACAACTACAGAGGCATCACTCTCCTCTCAATACCAGGAAAAGTCTTCAACAGAGTATTGTTAAACAGGATGAAGGATTCCGTGGACGCTCAACTTCGAGATCAACAAGCTGGATTTCGTAAGGATAGATCGTGCACAGATCAAATCGCAACTCTACGTATCATTGTGGAACAATCAATCGAATGGAATTCATCACTGTACATCAACTTCATCGACTAAGAGAAGGCATTTGATAGCGTGGACAGGACGACACTGTGGAAGCTTCTTCGACACTACGGTGTGCCTGAGAAGATAGTAAATATCATACGGAACTCCTATGATGGACTAAACTGCCAAATCGTCCACGGAGGACAACTCACCGACTCGTTCGAGGTAAAGACCGGTGTTAAGCAAGGTTGCCTACTCTCACCCTTTCTCTTTCTCCTGGTGATCGACTGGATTATGAAGACGTCAACATCTGGAGGAATGCACGGGATACAGTGGACAGGCAGGATGCAGCTTGACGATTTAGACTTCGCGGATGATCTGGCTCTTCTATCACAAACGCAACAACAAATGCAGGAGAAAACGACCAGTGTAGCAGCAGCCTCAGCAGCAGTAGGTCTCAATATAAACAAAGGGAAAAGCAAGACTCTCCGATACAATACAATATGCACCAATCCAATTACACTTGACGGAGAAGCTTTGGAGGATGTGGAAATCTTTACATATCTGGGCAGCATCATTGATGAACACGGTGGATCAGATGCAGATGTGAGGGCGAGGATCGGCAAAGCAAGAGCAGCATACCTACAGCTGAAAAACATCTGGAGCTCAAAACAATTGTCAACCAACACCAAGGTTAGAATTTTCAATACAAATGTCAAGACAGTTCTTCTGTATGGGGCAGAGACGTGGAGAACTACGAAAGCCATTATCCAGAAGATACAAGTGTTTATTAACAGCTGTCTACGCAAAATACTTCGGATCCGATGGCCAGACACTATCAGCAACAAGTTACTGTGGGAGAGAACAAACCAGATTCCAGCGGAGGAAGAAATCAGGAAGAAGCGCTGGAAGTGGATTGGGCACACTTTGAGGAAATCACCCAATTGTGTCACAAGACAAGCCCTCGCATGGAATCCTGAAGGTCGAAGGAGAAGAGGAAGACCAAAGAACACATTACGCCGAGAAATAGAGACAGACATGAGAAGAATGAACAAGAACTGGAAAGAACTAGAAAAGAAGGCCCAGGACAGAGTGGGTTGGAAAAAGCTGGTCGGCGGCCTATGCTCCATTGGGAGTAACAGGCGAAAGTAAGTAAGTAAGTAAGTATATTGGGCTCAATCTCTTTTAGGAATCATGGGTGTATACTGTTGAAGAATACGATTTCTAGACTAATCAAGTGTTCATCGTGTTCTAATTTCTCATACCTGTAAAAATAAAACCAGTTTGTGATAATAAAGAAATTACCTACAAATTCTAACAATCTTCACATTTTTGCATAGAAAATAATCATCAGTTACTCATTTCTCATATTTTTAGGTTATTGTAATATATTACTCTTAAATTACATTGTTATAGATAAACTGAATTTTTCAGTAATCACAATAATAATAATACATTTGCACTGATTCATATTTTCTTTTATTACAAATGTTTTGTCTATGTTATAGAATTCAGTTGAAGCTACATTTAGAGCATTAAATAGTACTAGTAAAATACCAATACTTGAACCAGTTGAATGTTCTACATTAGCTCAACGTCGTGTTCGTGCCAAATCAATTTTAACAAATCAAATTAAAGTAGAAGAAAGGCATTGAATTTTCAATAAAAATCCATTGAATAGCATTCAGTTGTAATAAGAATGAAATTAGTGATTTATTATTATTATTTTTTGGAAAAATATATAATCTCATTAATATTCCATTTTATTCTTTCTGTATTCTTTATCATCTTTTCTTATGTTTGATTAGTAACTCTGCTTGTTTTATACGAATATTCGTCAAGGTTAGAACGAATAGTTTGACAATAATTGGGCGCCGAGTTTTTTTTAAAAAATTTCATTTTACATGTAAAATATTTGCCAATAACATATTTCTGTTATTATATAAACATACAATTCAATGAAGAACTGTAAATTGACATGGAAACACTTTTTTTTCTTTTTATCACTTGAAATATCCAATCATTTTTTTTGATTCTCAATGACATTATATCTAAATAATTTATCTTGATATACTTGTAAAATGTAAACTTTATTAATATGCATATAATGCATATTATTGTTATATATTTTATACAGATCATTCTTTATTTAATATTCACGTATCAACTTTTAATTCATGAATGATATCAATGAATTTACCTGTATAAAAAAAACACTTTTTCGCTCATAATGATTTTGATCATTTAGTATTTTGTTATTATTATTATCAATAATATGATTGTGATATATATATATATATATATATATATATATATATATATATATATATATATACGTTAACCGTTGTCTTTTATTCCAGTTACACAATGACAATAAATGTTTTCGCTTGTGTTTTATTTCTTCATTATGAATATGAGAAAATTGTGATAGCGTTGTGTGTGTGTGTTTGGGTTAGATAGCTTTTTTGTACAACTTTCATTATCATTCTGAATAATATCATTAGAACTTACTCAGTATAGAAATTATTAAGGTATTACAACTGGAAATTTCATTTTTACATGAAAAAGACGCTAATGATGTTGTCTATGACTACATTGGATGCTTTGCAAACAAACTATTTAGTTTAAATAACCAGACAATATCATGGATGTTCACCCACCGTAGTTGCAAGGTTTCTCTGTCATTTCAAAATGTAAGCATTACTATTAAAGATTGTATTATTCATTATACTCATTTTATTTAGCGGTAATGTACGGCGAGACTAAACTTTATGAACGAGCCAATCAGAAGCTTTCGTTGGTTTTCAAGGTCACGGCTCTAAGTTCGGTACCTGACGCTTACGTACGGTTGGTTTACAACGGATTTTGGAGAAGACGTGATAATTCAGCGTCTACAAGAGAAGTGATTAATAAGATTTTGGCGCGAAATTCAATTATCCATTTGGATAAATACAGTTTTGGCATTATAGCTGATGTCAGTTCGTGATGAAAACCCTAAGTATAATTCCTAACCTTTAACCATGTTCTGTAAATCATAATTTGAATTCTTCACACAGGTTTATAACCCTCATTTAGTCTTAGTTTTTTATGTTGACACTGTCAGGGTCACTCTAGCGTCGCTCAAAGGTCGTCCATAAATTATAGTCTCACCCTAAACCATACCAACAACATTGAAGCTATGTGGTCGAGGCTAAAAGAATTTTTGAAATCTTATCATGGCTCCAGAGGTCGACTACTATGGAGCCATATGGATGAGTTCCTGTACCGTATGGACTATGATTTTAGAACTTCTGAACCTATATCTGACCTTGAGAAGTTTTCGAGCCTTGTAAAAGAACAGTTCGTTTTAATTTTTTTATGTTCGTATAATATATTTTTACTGTACACTAACTGTCTCCTGGTTGGCTAATATTTCTCAAGGTCATTTAAGATTCGTTCAAAGGTCGTCCATAAAGTTTAGTCTCTCCGTAATGTACGTTTACGCTTTCGTCGTCTAGCCATGTGAAAAGAAAGAAGGTAGTGTTCTTATTTTATTCTGCAACAGTGATGTTTTCTTTCTTTTTAATTTGACATATTTCACTGTTTTAAAAATGAGTTTCATGTTTTTTACATTCTGCTTTCATTTCCATATTTATTTTCTCATGCAACAACATTATTGTTTTCATTGTTAAATAATTCAAAACAGAATAATAATTCCTAAGATATAAATCGAAATACTGTTTTATAATTTCTAAGTAGAATCATGGGTATCGTCACATAGTATTTATCCATTATGTTTTTGATATGTGGGCGGGAATGGTAATGCTTGGTTGTCTGCTTAGTCAAACATGTAGACAGTCTGACAAGTGTCAGATGAGTTATATATTTCCCTATCCTTATTATTTATTATTATGAATTGATTGTTCATTGTCGTTAGATTGTGTCGGGTTTTGGTGAGAAAATAGATTTACGTTCTAGTCAGTCTAATCACATGTTCTTGATCTGAGTTGTGTTGAAGTCCTGTAGAGTAGACGCTGAGAATAAATCTAGTGTACATATTCGTCTAAGGTGAATTAACGTCCCATTTATGTATACAAGAAAAGGGACCGTTATAACAGTTTTAGTAATTTTAAAAAATTGCAAGTTTTCATTTATCATGTCTAATAAATTATAGTAACTGTAGGATAATTAGTCGTCAGTAGTTACGTCTCCGACTGTGTAAGCTCGGTGACATGGTATCGTATCCCTCAGGAATCTTCAGTTACCGCAATATTTCAGGCACACTTTGCGGAGGAAGGCCAGTCAGCTCAAAATCTTGCTTCAGAGTTTCCTTTCGACTGACTACATCCACCTACCATTCTACATATTAATACATATAAATAGATATATACACACAAGAAATACATTATTCTCTATAATACGATTTTATGATACCGTATGGATAATTCTTCATTAACTACTGTATACTTATTAGAAATAAAAATATTAAAGCTGGGTTTGTTTTTAATTATAATGCGTGGAGATCACATGAAATGAGACACTTATGATATGCTGACGTTTTACATTAAGCAAATATTTTAACTTCAACTAATAATCATGGACACAACCAAATTATGTACAATTATTTTTTATTTTGCGTAGGTTTTATATGATTTTTTTATTATTATACAGAAATCAAATCATTCAAAATTGTCGATGAAATTTAAATATGTAAGTGGGTGTTTGTTAATCTGTTATCATTATAAACTATTCGTTAAATAGACTAAGGTTTAAGTCATGTATCTTGATTAGACAAATAAGTATTATTCAATATACTGTCTTATATACCATACTATAAATAGATAGGTAGATTATGTTTTATATAAAAAAGTAATATGTTGGCTACGTGTATATATTTTACAGCTCTTTAAGTTATTTTTATCTAATTATTTTAATAACTTGTAAATCTACTTATCGTTTTGGCACAAATAAGAACTGAAGTAATTTTGGGGTGGTGGTGGAAGTAATGCAATAATTTCGAAATTCAGTGATATTATACCTTATTTTAATGAATTATTATTCGTATGGAGGATTTGTGAAGATTTGAAATTATAGAAGGATTGGTTCAGCGAAGAGTTCTCTCTTTAGTAAATTCATTTTCAAAACTGTACAATCGTAAATATATATTTGTTTTTCAAAATTACAGTGATAGTAATAATAAAATTCTGCTAAACATGATAACAATAAGTTTTAAAAGATAAGGTCATAAAAACATTATTTTTAATCAAGGAAATTAGTGGTAATTTTGTTGTTGAAATTATGAATGTTCATCATGCAGATAGATAAGAAAATTATAATTGGATAGGGAAGGATGACGATGATAAGATAAAATGTTGAAATGAAGATGAACTTTTATTAAGAGTACCATAGAAACAGAAAAAAATGATTTGGGGTAAAAGGCCTGTAGAGAAGACAGAAGGGAAGCAGATGGCTGTAAAAGAAGAAAGAAAAAATTACGAGAAATTAAAACCGTGGTAGAAAAAGTGGTTCTACCAGTTTCTTTTGGACACATTGTTCTCGTTTTTCCAAATTCCTAACTGGAATAGGTCAAATGAGATTATTTATCCTTTAAGTTATTAGTGAACATTTGTCGGCTAGAGAAGACAGTTCTCATGGTTGCTGTAAAGAAGGTTCTTTGAAGATGGTCAGGATTTCTGTAGCTATATCACCTTTGAAATCGATGTTCATATAAAGTTTTCCTTTTTACGGAGGTTATTTCTGCTTTAGGTGTTTCAAATTTTATATTGTCGTCCATAAATGTCGACGGATACCTGTTTTCGACAAGTATTTTCATAAGGAGGGTTGGTTCATCAACTATAACATTAGGACTAAAAGTTCTACGTATCCATGTAGCGAGGGATATAATCAAATTTCGCTCGCGGCCAATGAGGACTTAACTACAAAGACTTGGTGGATGGCTATTCCACGAGGTGTTCCTATGAACAGATCTCATTAAAGTCCCGCCGTGTTTCCTTGTTATTTTAACATCAAAAAAGTGAATACTTTGTTTTTAACTTCTATTGTGAAATTTTTCGCCCGATGGAAGTTATTAAATATCTGTAGAAGGTGATTTGAATTGTATTTATTGTCATATGATAAAAACGTCATCCACGTACCTTTTATACAAGCGTAAGTTGTTAATAGTCGTTTTAAGTTTATTGTTTTCCAGAATGGCCATGAAACGGTTTGTTAGTAATAAACCAATAGGAAGTCCCATCGCTTTGCCATTCTTTTGCCGATGAATTACGCCGTTGAATTTAAATTGTACATTACAGGTGAATTGTAATAGTAATTCCTTTAAATGAGATCACAGTTATTCGATACTAATCACATTATCATTTATGCGTTTGCAGATACAACTGATGGTCTCTGTAAATGGAACGACTGTAAATAGTAATTCTATATCAAGTGAAAGAATAAGTTTGTCATTTACATTCACTTCTTTTATGTAACCAATGAATTTAAAATTATCATGTAAAGAATGTATGTAAATACTTTGCCTTACGGATTCCAAGAGTTCTGCCAGCCACTTTGAAGATCATTGAATTTCCATAGTATATATTACTGAATAATGTTAGCTACACAACCTGTGCAGATTAGTATATACTTCTCAACTGCTTTGTGACGACTCCTCATCAGTGCATATTGACGATCCTACTTGGGGTCAAATCCAGGACCCTCAGACTACTGAGCCAGTGTTGTAAGTGCACATAGCTAAGAAATCCCATACTATAGAAAAATTGTGAGATGGTTTTTGCTTTCCACTAGTTGTTTAAAATCATTCCGTGTTCTAAACTACTTAGTTATTGTTGAGCTGTATTTCCGAAATTGTTATGTACATGTTGAGTCAAGTTTCTAGTCACTTATATCCTACTGAAAAGTTGTTCATTTCTTTCGTTATGAATTGTCCTGTTGTTTGTATTCCCCAAAACATTTTATTCTACTGTTCTTGATAAGTGTTTTTTTGGATTTTTTTTCTCCTTAAGGATTCTCTTGTTTATGATCTACAATTATATTTCAAAAGAAAATGAGATGCTGACTTACTGATCCCTCATTGAATCAAATGAATTATCCCTAAGAATTCGAAATAAAATATCTTAGCAAGTAAACAAATTAGATTTAATGTAAAAGGATTATTCAGTTAAACCAAAAAGGATAAACTGCAACTGATGAAACAAGACAATAAGAAATATATCTCTCACACAAAAAGAAGGATTTGGTGACTAATTAGTTCTCCATCGTGCTGTAAGCATTTGATGCCGATAATTAGTTAACACTTATAACAGTTTGACCAAAGTTTGATGTCAGTTTAGTTCGGAAATTGACCTTAATCAAATGCACTTGATGAAAATGATGGAAGTATACTTAAATTCGCCCATATTCTTACGAAGTAACGTGCTTGTACAATGGCGTAATTAGATTGGATGAGAAGATTTAATTAAATACATATATATATCATACAATATTATCCTCAAACAATCTATGATTGTAAACTAAATAAAAGACATTCTGGGGTTGGCTATAAGCCAACTCCCATTTACTGCCAATAAGTGATAGACGGACATACGGATATATATACATATATATATATACTGGTCTAAACGTTAACTTGATTGTAGGACTGTGGGAAAAAGATTCTTACCTAAGCAAGATCGTCTCTTTAATGGAATAATAGTTCGCTAATTGTGTTTCATTGATCTTTGTATCAATTTGTTAGCCGATTGATTTTAATTCTTCAACTTAACTGTCATCCAACCAAGCATAAAAATATATTCTGACTTACCATAAGGGCCTTCATATGATTTGACACTCATACACCAACAA